CCGCCGCACCGCGTCCCGCCGGCGTGGCTGCGGCTGATGAGCGGCGCGCGGCAGACGAGCGGGGCGCGGCGCGCGGCGCGCGGCGCGGGTGCGGGGGGAGGGAGGCGCACCTGGTGATGATGAGAGCCGGCCGGTTGAGCGCCTGCGACAGTGCGGCCTCGTTGGGCAGGTCAAACTCGGCCGGGGCCAGGGGTCCCACCTCTGCCAGCACGCCGGTCCCCGCTGCCCCGGCGCCGCCAGGCAGCGGCGCGGGGGGCGGGGCGCCCCCCGCTCGCCTGCTGGGCGCCGCAGCGGCGGCCGCGGCGGCGGCGCGGCGCTTGGCGCGCTCCTGAGCGGCGACGAGCCGGCGCTCGCGGGCGGCGTCGAGGGCAGCCGCACTTGTGGTGAAGCCGCGCGAAGCTGCCCGTTCCCGGGCCCAGGGGGTGTAGGGCGGCGCAGCAGCGTGCCCTTGACCACTCCATTGCACTGCATGTGTGGCTGCTCCGCGCTGCGCTAAAATCCAGGTCGGCTCACACTGGAGCGCCGTCGCGCTGGGCGTGCTGCTCGCCGCTGCTTGGCAGTGCAGCAGCAGCAGGTTTGCTGCACGCCTGGAGGCGCGCTGCATATTGACCACCACTTGGAATCCTTTTACGCAGCCCAGATCTAGAACAAGCGCCAGGTACGATTGCTCGAAACGCGCTGGATCACCGAGTGACGGTTGGCTCAGGCAGACTGTTTGATGTTGCTCTCGGATTGCACTGTTCAAATTAAACACGCGCTGCTATTGTAGCACCGCCCTGATCATTAAGTTGATCACGCGAGTGTCGCAAAGTCTCGCTTTGAACAAGCTGCAGCACGATACATGTATTCACCGTTAGGAATGAGACGACATATTTGTCTTGATCCGGCGCCTGCAGCCCCAACCACGCTGCGCGTCAGTTCTACCAACTGTGCCAGGTGTGCTGCTTCGGTTTGCATTGCGGCGGCCGAATCACGGCGGCTGGCTTTGGCCGGCCCCTATTTTTCTGGTCACCAATGTACCCATACTCCTCCCATGTAGGTCTACCATCTTTTGGCCTTGCAGACATCCGTCTCAGCGGGACGTCAACCTCGTGCCGCGCGCCGCCGTGGGCGGCAGCAGCAGCAGCAGCGGCAGCGGCAGCGGCAGTGGGGGCGGCGGCAGCGGCGGCAGCAGCAGCACCCCTGACGCCAGGAATAGGGCTCAGCTTGACGATATTCTGTCGGGCCTGGCGTCCCTGCGGGAGCAGCAGCGCCTCGGCCTCGCGCCCATAGAGGATGAGGAGGGCGAGGAGGAGTGGGACGAGTTTGAGGAAGGGGTGGAGGGTGAGGACTGGGTCTGGTGGCGGGCCGAGGAGGAGGGCGCCGGGGCAGCCGACGTGGCGCCCACGGCCGCGGCTGCGGCCGCAGCAGACAGCAGCGGCAGTCGCAACGAGAGCAGTGCAGCGGCGCCTGCCGCTCCGTCGCCGAAGGGTGGCTCGGGCGGGACAACCGTAGATGAGAAGCAGCCGCAGGCGGAGGGTGGCGAGGGCGGCAGCGCTGAAAGGCCGAGAGCAAAGTTATTTATCAGGGGCCAGCTGCCGACGGCTAGGATAGGGGCCGGCCGCGGCGGCGGAGGCCGGGCTGGCGGCAGAGGGGGCAGCATGGAGTGGGGCCCGCGCGGCGTGCGGCGCGCCGGCGGCGGGGCCAGCGGAGGTGCGGCGCGCAAGGGGGCGTTGCCAAGGCAGGATCAGGGGCGTGATGACGCGCAGTGACCCTCGTGAACATTGAACTTATCATTGTGACCTAGCTCCTTCACACCGGCCGCATCCACGCATTCCTCGTCCGCTCGTCCCTTCAAGGCAGTGGGTGGAACTATTCACCCACTGCGCTACAGATGAACGCTTGCAATCTGCACACAGCCGACCAGTCCGTTGTGGCTATTTTACATGTGTAAGTTTTGGGAGATGCGCGCGCCCCATGTGTTCCATTGCCCAACTCCGTGAGCTGCTGATGCTGTTGGTTGAGGTGGCTGCAACCTCGGCAGGCAGGCAGGCAGGCAGGCAGGCAGGCGTCACACTCGCAGTAGCCTCAAGTGTCAAGGGCAAGGGGTGACGCTGCGCCAGCCGGGCTGTGTTGAGAGCGCATGCCTGGCGGGGCAGGGCAGGGCGCGAGCTTGCGTGTGTTGTGAGGTGTCATGGCCGACGCGAGCCCGGACAGAAAAACCCTCTAGTATTGACCCCAGCATGTTGTGGCAGCAGCGATGCATTAGCGCATCCGGAGCAGCGGCCCATGGCAAAGGGCGGCAAAATTTTGGTTGACCTGCCGAGCGGGGACGGCCGGGCCCTTGGCTTGTGTGCATGCGGCTCCGCTAAAAAGCTGACAGGCGGCGTGTGCACGGCGGCGATGTTGGGTTGAGTGCATGCGCACTGCTGGTTTTGAGGCGGGGCTGCAGGGACGGCGGCCTCACGCGTGCGCGCCTGGTCAAACGCTGGGTCAAAATCCTGGGCTGGAGGGCCAGGCTGTGCTGTTATGAGTGATGCATCCAGAGAAATCAGGGGTCGCAGTAGTGCAAAAAAACGCCTGCTGGCGTGGTGCATTTGTAAGTGGGGCAAAAGTCCAGGCACGTCCCAGGAGTTTTGATGAGAGAGGGCGGCAAAAGGCAGGCAAATGCGCTTGGCCACCACCCAGTTGCCCCTGCCCGCCCATCCCCGGGGCATCCTTGTGAGGGCACCATAGGGCCCATGCCTCGCACCGCGAACGCCGACTCCTCAAATGCAAATTGTCCACCCCGCGACAGCGCTCTGCGCCCCAACTACGTGCAGAAGTTCGAACAGGCGCGGCGAGGGCCGGCGCCTGGCATCTGGGGCGCGACGAGCCGCAACGTTTGCTTCACTCGGCCCTGCGTCGGCCGGGCGCTCCGCCTGGCCGACTTCCATAATCCCAGCCCTTGCAGCTGGCCCCACGAGGAGCCGCGGGCCTGACACCCCGCCCGTGGGGTGCAGCAGGCTGCCGCGTGAGTGCCTGCCGCGGCGGCCTGCGCGCGATGGCCTTCTGCTTGGGTCAACATCTTGCAGCGGTTTGCTTGTCCCAAACTTGCCCAACGAGACTCGAGATGGCTGGGAACCAGCCGCGTCGCCAGCCTCGTTCAACCTTGGATTGTGCGTGATGTTGTGCATGCCGCAACCTCGGCGGCTGTCACACCGCCGTGTCGTCGGGCAGGACGGCGTTCTTCGCGACGCAGATGATGCCCTCCCGGATGACCACCCCGCGCGGCAGCGCTGACCGCCCCCCACCCTCGCGCACGCCCGCGGCGTTGAGAAGGCGGGCGCGGCGCCCCACCCTGACGTTCCTGTCGAGGATGGCGCGCCGCACCTGGCTGCCGGCGCCGATGCCGAGGGGGACGGCGCCGGCAGCCAGCTTGGCGCGGCGGTCTCTTTCGGGCTGTACCTCATCCGCACTAAACACGATGGTGTCCTGTGCGGGGGGGGGGGCGTGCATACGCCAATTTGTGTGTGTGCGTGGGTCCATGTGTGTATGTGTGTATGTGTGTATGTGTGTACGTGTGTGTGTGCGTGTGTGTGTGTGTTGAGTGAGGGTGTGTGAGATGTTCACCCCTGCTGCTGGCAGAATCCGCGCATTGTGGCAGCGGAATGTGACCTGTTTGAGATGTGTGTGAATGTATGTATTTGCATTAGGGAACACACGGCAGGGTGGCTGATGCCAGCCAGCTGCCACGGCAGATTGTACCCGCAATGCACCCACCTAGTCCCAATCACTAGGCGGGCAGTAGCCTCGATGCCAGGAAGCCACCAGCTGCTGTCCACCCACAGCTGTTTGCCAACTGACTCGTGCCCGCCGCACCTGGATGTCGCAGCCGCGGTCTATGAAGGTGCATGATCCGATGACGCAGCCCCTCAGGGTGGAGCCGACCACGCGGGACCCATCACCCAGCAGCGTGTCCTGAATGGTTGAGTCGGTGATCTGGGGGTGGTGTGTGCGTGTGCGTGTGCACGTGCGTGTGAGCATGTCTGTGCACGCGTGCATGTGTGTGTGTGTGCGTTTGTGTGCACGTGTGTGCGTGTGTACGCGCATGTGTGGTCTAGGGGTGGGGGCGTGGGTGGAGGTGGGGTGTGTGAGTGTGTGTATGAGTGGGTGGGTGGGGCGGATGGGTGCGTGATGCTTATGGTGTGTGTGGGCGTGTGAGGGCGCGTGCGCCCCAAGAAGCGGTGTCAGCGGGGACAGCAAGCTGCACCCTGCTCGAGCAGCGGCGGCCCCTGCCCAAACCGCTCCCCTGGAGCGGACCAAGCCGCGGCACCTTGGTGGGCGGCAGGGTGCGCGGCTCTGTGTACATCGGCAGGTCCCCCTCAAACAGCCGCAGCTTCAGGGTCTGAGGGGCAGTGGGGTGGGTCAGGGAGAAGGAGGATGAAGGGGGGGGACAGGAACCATGACGTCCACGTGTTGCGGCAGCAGGATGAGGATTGAGCAACCTGCCAGCGGCATGCAGCCGCAGTTTTCGCAAAACAAAATTGCGGCCTGCAAGCGCCGGGCTGGAGTGGATCCAGCAGCATCAACGTGCGGCCCTGGCTGACAGGTTTCCTGGGTCTGGGTCGCCCCCACGAGCGCCAGACAAGTTGGGGCGCCACCGTGGTGCCCGCACAGTCGCCCACCCCCTTTGCGAGCGCCATGTGTGCCCTGTAGTAGTTGCGCAGGCAGCCCACGTCCTCAAAGTAACCGGCGTGGGGGTAGGCCGCGATGGAGCGCTCCCCCACCACTGCAGGCAGGATGTCGCGGCTGAAGTCGACGGCGGCCGGAAACTGGCGGGACAGCAGCTCCAGCAGGACCTGGTGTGTGTGTGTGTGTGTGTGTGTGTGTGTGTGTGTCTTGCACATTGGGCACAAGGGGCAAGTGCTTCTTGAATATTGTACACGCGAATGGACCCAGGTAGTGTTCAAAGGCTGCACCAAGGCACGCATGCAAAAGAGAAACAGGGCGTCCAGCAGTTGGTGGCCTCACTGTGTTGGCACAAACGGCATGCCAGGGTGACAAACCCCAGCGTGGGGCAGCAGCTCTGCGGCCTCATCAGCCGGTCGGCTGCCCGTCTCAGTTGGGCCCATCCCTTGTCTGCGCCTCCTCAGGCGCCGTGGTGGCGGCTCACCCTCTTCTTGAACACGTAGATGCCCATGGATGCCACGTAGGGCTTCTCTTCAGCATCACTGGCGCACAGGCCTGGGGGCGTCCACACCGAGAGGGAGAAGTTGGGGAATTGCTGTTTTCGGGAGGCGGGCGATCGCGGGTGCGTGCATGGGTTGGCGAATCAACAAAGGGTTGCGGTAGGGGGTTCTGGGAGGGGCGGCCTGCCCGTGGCCAACATCATGCATGCACCCCGGTGGCTGCACTGCGCACGCACGCCGGGACCCCTGGCTCGGATGCTAGAGGTAGCCGCGTGGCAATTGATCCAGTGCAGGGGTGGCGTGTGCGTGTCGGCATGCGGTGTAGTGCGGCATGCTGCACGCGCCGCGAAGCTTGTCCAGCCCCGAGGCCCACCGAAGCAGGTTGACGTGTCCATGGACATGGTGTGCAGGGTGGCCTCTGGGGGCTTCTCCTCAAAGTGCTGCACATTCATGTCCTCATCCACCTGAGCCGTAAACGTAGGTTTCGCGGGGAAGGGCGGGTAAGCTAAAAAGCAGGGCTTGGGAGGGGCCACGCAGCGAAGGGCGAGCCTGGTTTGTTGAGCTTGCTGGCTTGAAGGGACGGCAAGGGGTCAATGCTGTGGCTTTGCGACCCGCGAGCAGAGCGTCTCGTGATCGCTGGCGCGTGCGGCCCCGCAGGAGCGCGCAGGCCCGCCACAGCCGCATGGCTCACCCCGAGGATCCCGAGGTGCAGCGCGTGGTCCTCGTCAGCGGGGGTGGTTGCAATGGTGATGTCAGCATCACGGGAGCGGTGGTAATTGATGAGGTCAGCAAAGTCCATGCGGTACCTGGGGGTGGGCCAGGATTGACCAGAAAACCGGGGGATGGGTGAGGAGCATCAAGGGCTGCAGAGCTCCGCTGGACTGCCACAGTCCGGGCAATTACGCCAGTGCTCAAAGGGCTGTCCACCGCCGAAACGTGGCCGGCGGAGCGCCACGCACCGCCCTGTTACCCCTGAGCGCAGCCGGGGCCGAGGTAGCACGGCCTCCCCGAGCCTGAGGGCTGTAAGCCTGCCCCAGGGTGCGTGAGCTCACAGCTGGTCTCCCGCCAGGATCAGCACGTCCTCCGCTGCCGCGTGTCGTGGCCCCGCCAGGTACTCCAGGTAGTGGCGCACCGCGTCGGCCGTGCCCTGGTACCTGCGTGTGCCACACGTGAACTGCGCATTATTCTGCGTACGCTGAATCCAGCAAGCCAGGCCAAGCCCGAGCCAGCAGCAGTGGGACTGAGCCTCTGCTATGCCCCGCCCCTTTGCCGCGCCGGCCCCGCCCTCGGCTCGCACCACGCGTCCAGCTTGACGTGCCCGGGCCGCTGCGTGGCGTTGAGGCAGTCCACAAAGCCGTCGTGGCTCGGGGTGAACAGGTTGCCTGCACGTAATTTGCGGAGGGAGCAGTGGATGCCGTATGGATGTGAAAGGTGAGGGCACGCAGGCTGCTGTCCACACAAAAGTGAGATTGTGATTGAGCACACACACAAGACAGATGGAAACACGCACGAGAAAGATGAGAATTAGGGTGTCTTGAGGCCGTGAGTGCATCACTGTGCTCTTTTTTCAAGGCGAGCTCCTCCAAGCGTTGCCGACAAAGGAGAGCGGCCGCAGCGCCGCGAAGGTCGTACCGTTGACAAATGAGTACGCGCGCGACAGGTGGCGGTTGAGGCTGGTGACGTTGTACTGAGTCAGCACGTAGATGTGGTTGAGGCCTGGGGGCGCAGCATGGTGTCGGTTTGCGGATGGTGTAGAGGTGTTGAAAGTGTGTGTGTGTGTGTGGGGGGGGGTGCCTGGGCGGGATGAGTCGCAAATTCAACAACACTCCAGCAGCAGCGAGCTTGGGGGAGGGGGGGGGAGGCAGGGGGGTTGTAAACCAGGATGCGGGAGTCCCCAGCACTCATTGACAAGGTTGCATGATGCCCAGAATTGCCGGAAGCGCAAGTAATTGCTTGTAGGGTTGCTTTTGCGCGCTCGCTCGCACGCACGCACGCACGCATGCACGCACGCACGCACGCACGCACGCCCACAACCCCCCTCACATACACACATGCATGCACAACGCACCGCTGTTGATGCAGTTGCTGAGGGGGACGTCTATCAGCCGGAACAGCCCCGCAAACGGCATGGCTGGCTCCGCGCGCGTGTCAGTCAGCGGGCGCAGCTCGCTGCCGGGCCCGCCGCCCAGGATCATGACTGAGGGGGTGGGGGTGGGGGGACAGGGAGTGCATGGGCTGGGCTGCCTGAGACCGGACTGCATGTCTCTGGTAGGAAGACCTTTCCTGGGCTCAGGGAGCGCCCAGTGCTGCGGTTGAGCCGGCCAGGGTGTGTGCACTTGGCTGCTTGGCGCATCCAGGCATGCTTGCGTGTGTGTAGCGCTCACCGACAACTTCGGATGACAATGCAAAGGGCAGGCGGGGCGAGGGTGCCCGCAGGTTTTTGGTCTGGCTGCTGCCGTTGGCGCCGACCGGCGGGCTACTGGTGGGGCGGTTGCTGCTGCTGTCCCTACTGATCGTGGTGGGTTCGGGGCTGCTGCTGCTGCTGGTGCTCCTGGTGCTGCTGCTGCCGCTGTTGCTCCTGCTGCTTGTGGTGGTGGCCGTCGTAGATGGTGCCGAATCAGGCAGCAGTGGCAACCGCGCGTCTTTGATGGTCCTGAAGAGGAGGTGTTTTGGGAGGGAAGGGTTTGGCATTGCAGTTGGCACTGGGTGTCACGGTATATAGGGTCGTAGAGCCCTTCCCGAGCACGCTAGCGACACCTATTGGTCTGTTACGTTACATTTGGTGCTCCAGCCGGTCCTGGCCAGTCCTCTCAGAGCGGAGGACGCAGGTTCGAACCCGGGTGCGTGCAGATCGTGTTTCGCCCCGAAGTCACAGGGTGACAGCCAGACAGGCTCGAGGACGAGCCTGGGCTAGGTGGGGGTGAGTGTCACGGTATATAGGGTCGTAGAGCCCTTCCCGAGCACGCTAGCGACACCTATTGGTCTGTTACGTTACACTGGGCGGGGTGGCAGTGACACCAGGTGGGCCGGTGCCCACTCAGCTAAGCTGGTAGTGAGGTCAAGCTCAAACGCGACTAATGTAAGAAGTGACAGAGGTGAACGCCATGTTTTTGTGGACTAGGGGTGCGTGTTCTGGGCACTTGGGGCAACATCGCTTGGACCGCAGCGCAGAGTCAGCACTTGTGCTGACCGTGCTGTGCAGTGGTGCCCGCCCCCAGCACACCTTTTGTCCAGCGTTCAGGTGGCCCCTCCTTTAAAAGCAACCCGCACATTCCTACTGGGCGGCTTTGGGCTGCTTTGCTGCGCCATCGCACGGATTCGTCGCAGTCCGAGCTGGCCCTGCCATGTTGATCGCATCATACCTGTACCTGCTTGATTTGCGAGCTTTCGGCCAATATGAGGACCTCTGAATTGCTGGCAGCGCGGCCGGACAGGCGATTTTGATGTTTTCGGTGGCGGGGGCGCAATGATGGGGGTAACTATAGTTTTCAAAACGGTACCGTAAGCAGTCTGTTTGGATGCGAAATTTCATGTTCAAAATGCCACGATATGAATCAGGCATGTTGGGTTGTGCAGCAGCTGCACAATGCCGTCACGGCATGCCACGCGCGCAAATGCCACAGTCCGAACCAGGTCCGAACCAGAGCGCTGGGATGAAATCGCTGAGAGGGTGGAACAAAAGTGCACGACCTCAAAGCCGCATGAAACACCATTCGTATGTCATGCACATAATGAGTGCTTTTGCATGTCTGCCAGCTGCATGAGAATGTTTGAGAGTCCCAGCCATCACTTCTGATGTTTTCATCTTTCACTGTGTACCCCATGTATTGAGCGGGATGACACGCTTACATCACATGATCACAAAATGGACGGCTGCAAGCACAAGAGTACATTTCCACCCATCTTAGGAAGCATTGCTACTCTTCGCACACTTTGACGGCTGGCGAACATGAATGATCATGAGTGGTCTTGTGCTGCCTGTCTGCAAATCACAATAGATGAATGCACAGAACTGTATGTTTGGCGCTATGCTCAGCTACGTACTGTATGCATCATATCACCAGCCAATATTTATCATGAATTGAAAATGAAATATCATGAATCATGAAAATATTATGAAATATCATGAATGAATCCTGAACTGTATGTTTGGCAAAGATCTTGTATGATGTATGGGACATGATTTCTCTTCCCACTAGTGTAGTTGACTTGGTATTTCATCACCATTAGGTAATTGTATGCTTCAAATGTGAGCTCAGCTGAATATCATTGCCATAAGGCTATTGTGTACTTTCTACGTATGCTCAGATAGACGAGAATGTACATTTTTCATGATGAACTAACATCTGCTACCTGTTTTGCGATGTTGTACCATACTGGTTGCTGGTGAGTGTTGTGCAAGGCGCATGACACACCAGAGCAGCACTGCAATTCTCAATCATATTCTGGAGTTTTAATTACAATCCTATGCTCCCCACACGCAAGGCATAGCAAGGATTGCCGTGAATTTTGAGACACCCTTGCACAAGACCATCTTCGCGTGGGGCAAACGTATCAATGTGTTTGCTGCAACTAAAGTGTCACCAAGGATGGGAGCGGTATACCACGCCGAAGAAACTGTGGGTGCATGTGTTGAGCGTGCAAGGCACCGACTGCAACTGCCATGCATCACAGCCAGACCATGTCTGAGGTAGAGTACAGCGCAATCAGCAGGCGTGCAACAACACCACCGCCTTTGCAGCCGTATGGAGGTGTGTTTATTGGCACCATCAATAGGACAGCGCCAGCTGTGCCACCACAAAAAAATTTTCTCTCTCTCAGCCAAGATCTTGGAATAACACAACACATGCTGCCAGCCCACAAAGTGGTGAGGGGTAGCAACCACAAGCAGACGCTGTGCAGTTTGCAAGCAACACACACACACACTCTGTGTGAGGGGTTGATTGCAGTAACAGCCTAATCACTTGGGGAGGATGCCAACCTCGCGCTCCACCAGCACCTCCTCCGCTTCAATCTCCTTCCCGATACTGACAAACAGGTGCTCAAAGATCTCGCGCTGGTTGACCAGTTCCTGCAGGTGTGAGAGTGCCAGGGGTGGTGTGTGGGGTTGAAAGGGTGTGATGCCGCGGTTGGGCAACCTTTATTGCGCAAGAGGCACAACACAGTGAAGGCTTGCAGATGCGTTTTAAGAGTAGCGTACAGCACAGGTGGTGGTGAATTGTGTCTCACACAAACATGACGCTGCCAGTCCATGCTCAGACATGCACACCATCAGGTCACGCACACTCACACTAGTCAACAGGCCCTGGCATACATCTGGCTCACCTGGGCTGTGAAGGCGGCGATGGCGATCATGGCCAGGCGGCCGTTGTTGAGCTCCTTGGTCTGCATGATCTTGTCCTCCTCGGGGTCCTGGGGCCTCAGGTTCAGGGGATCGAACAGGAGGTTGCCCATCTCGTAATCATCCTTGAGGCTGCAGTGTGTCAAATGGAGGGGGGCGGGTGTTTGGGAACGTTGTTGAATGCAATGGTGGGTGGCAGGGGAGGCGCGAGTGCGTGTGGCAGGCAGCTGCCGGGCGGCACCAATCAGAATGTGGTTGTTTGAACATGACACATCTGCTGTGGAGACAGCCAGAATGGTGAAGGACAGCTCGAGACTGCCACAGCAACCTGCCCCCCACACAAACCTGTTGAAGCCATTGCCGACAGGGGTGGCCCAGCCAAGGGCCACACGCCACGACTCAGCCAGGCCAATGGCCAGCAGCAGAGGCGTCCAGAAGATGGCGCCGCGGGCCTCCACCTGCTGGAACTGGTAGATCGCTGGGCCAGAGATCTGGCCGTCGAAGTTCTGCGGGTGTGATTAAGGATTACAAAGCTTGTGAGAAGGAGGGCAATGCCACATCTTATTGCCAGGCCAGCGGGATATTGAAACGGTGAAATGGTGAAGAAGCTGAGCAGACCCGCTGCAGTTAACAAATGCTATCAAATTGTGCAGGCTGTGAGACTGTCCCCACAATGCTCACAGGAACAGGCTGAGCACTCCAATTAACCCCTGCTACCAGCCAATCCACTCCACTCACGTAGAACGCCGGGAAGTCCTCCAGGTTCTCCCCCACAATGAAGCCGACAGAAGCCAGCATGGACACTCGGCCGTGGATGATCTCGCTCTCGCGCCAGCGGCGCACGTCGCGGGGGGTCGCGCTGGCTAGCAAGTCTGGCGGGCGGTGAGGGGCAGCGGTAGGGATTGGGGGTGGGGAGTGATGGTCAGAGAATGTGTGCGGCGTTTAGGAATCAACATCATCCACAACACTCATCTACAATCCCAGGGTCAGGAACGTGGGCAGGGGCTCTGAGTCACAAGTCGGGCACGTCGCAAAGCAGGATTTCCACCACTGGAGCCTCTACAGCTCATCCAGTTGCGACTCACTGGCGGGGTCAAACATGTCGGGGAAGGGCTCCGAGATGCCCGGCAGGGTCAGGGCGTCTGCGAGCAAGGGACGGCAGGGGCAAGGCGCAGCGGCACGCGCATCGGTGGTTTGTGGGCCGCTCGTGGTTGTCGTGCAGGCATTGACCTACCCAACCGAGCCTTTAGCATGTGGCAGGCATCATAGGATGGGGATGTAAGGGTGCCACAAATCATACGAGCAGCAAGCAAGCAGTGTGCTGGAAAAGGCGATCTGGAGCAGCGAGCAAGTTCAGCGCCATGGCGCTAAGGCACTCACACTCGCGACCGGTCAGCTCCTTTGGAGGGGCGACAGCACCGGGCGCTGAGCCAGGGGTGGTCTCGCTGGTGGTGCTGCGGCCCGACACGGAGCGGGTGGAGACATTGGGGCGCGCGGTGGCCTTGATGAATGCCTTCATTGTGGAGGTGAGCGGGGTGTGCTGGATGGGCGACGGTCGGCGGGAAGCAGTTGATTCAAGCTGTGTTTGATCGAACAACGTTTGAAAATGGGCTGACTTTCGATTGCCGCGCATGAAATTCGCCTTAAAAAGTGTGATGCTACGCTATTTGGGTGGGCGTTTCACCAACCACAATGGTTCGCCGGAACCGCAACGGCATCCAGCGGGCTTGTGAGCCTGATGGAGTACCTTGTATAGTGAAGTGAATTCTATTCGATGCTTATACAATGTGCTGGGGGCCATGCAGCAACCGCCACCGACCCTGTGTGGCCGCGTTCGCCCAGCGCACATGCTGCGTGCGCCAGCAACGCGCCGTCAAGTCCCAACCATGCCTTCAGAGCCTTGGTGAGCTTCATACACTGGAAGAAACGGGGCGCACGCGCTCATGCATTCGTTTTGCGCCTAATCTCTGACTATTTTCATTGGTGGGGCAGTCATGCTGGTTGTGGGTCTGGTCTGACAACACCTGCTGGTCAACGCCAGGCCCTTCGACTAATGTGATGACCATCACTGTCTTTACACCGTCTGCACAAACAGCGGGGACACACGACTGGTGCAAGGAATTCCTCAGCCAAGGTGCACAGAGATGCCCTGCAGCATACACGATGCACTACACCACAACACCCGCCGCCGGCTATCGCGGAACCGCGAATCATAGACCTTGCGCGCTGCGCCTGGCAGGCGCACTTCTGGCGCGCGGCGCCTCACAAGTGAAAGCGGCACCCAATGTCTGAACAGGAGCGGGTGCCCTACACAACGATGCTTTATACGCTCCCGAAGTCAATACATACAAACGTACGACCACAGAGAGCCGCAGGGGTGAACATAGCATGGCCCGCAGCGAGGCACACGAGGCATGTACCTCACTGGCTGCACGCTCCAATAAGCCCAGCCACACCTTTGCAACCGCCAGAACACCGCACGCACACCCAGGAAAGTACAGTGGCTCCAGCTATCAGGACAATCCACATACGCTGGGGTCCAGCATCGCCCCACTCAAGGGCCAGTGCAGCGCAGCGCCCAGATGCATGGCCGCTGGTGGGGCACCACGCACGGCGCTACGAGCTCCCCGCGTCGCCGCTCAGCTGTGCAGCCTTGCACGCCTGCCTGTGCTCCTTCCAGGCGCTGCGCTGGCACGCATCGCTGCAGTACCTGACGCCGGTGACGTCACCGCAGCCGCGGCAGCGTCGAAGCACGGCGCCGTCCGCCTTGGTCTTGCCGCAGGCCGCGCAAGCCTTGGGAGGCCTAGCCTCCTGCTGCTCCCCCTGATCTTGCTGTGGGGGGTTGGCGGGGAGAGAGGGCAGATATGGGGAGGGGTTGGCGCGCCGGCGGCAGCGAGGCTGAAGGGCAGACACGCGCAACTGGTTCACCCAAACCAACATGGGCTAACCAACATGGTCACACTCAAGCCGTGCAGCAGTTGATAATAGGAGCAGCAGCAGCAGCTGCAGCAGAGGCGGCGATAGACTGGGGTTGGCACTAGCGCACATCGCGCGCCTGCTGTTGCGCCTCTGGAGCTAAGCCACTGCTGGCGGCTGCCGTTGCAGCGGCAGGCACGCCGGGCGCCGCGGCGGCAGAGGCGGAGCCATGGCTGAGAGCCTGGGCTTCAGGTGCACCCTGCAAAAAGAAATAGAACATGGGGCGACATTGGGGCCGTCGGGTGCGCAAACAAGGCTGTCATCACCACTACATTGCGCGTTGACTGCATTGGCAGCGCAACATGGGAAGAGCAGACGAAAGAGCAACGATGGAGAGGGACCAGAAAGATACAAGGATGTTCTGATGCAGTTTCAGCCCTCCACACAAATGTGTGCAAACGCAGCGCACCTCGCCCGGAGCGCCCCGCTGCGCTGTGCCGCCCCCAGCGTCTGCCACCGCCTCGCTGGCCGCCTCGACGCTGGCCGCGTGGCCGGCCTTGATGAGACTGGCCAGCGCTCCCGCCGCGCTGGCGGGACACCCGGCGATGACGGTCACGACACCCCCGGCCGCCATGACACACAGCACACGCAGCGCATCGCTGTCCGCCGCGACGCGCGCCGCGCAGCCTGACGAGCCCTGTGTGGCGAGCGCAACGAGCTCCGCGCTCGGCCCCACGCCTGACCGCAGCGCCGCCAGCGCTGCGTCGAAGGCGCCGCCGTCGTTGCGGCGCACGCGCTGCAGCCAACCAGGCAACGCATTGCACAGCATGGCGATGGCCGACGCGGCGAGCCCGGAGACGCCGCAATCGGCGGCGGCCAGAGCCCCTGCGAGCGCGTCAAACATGCCCTCGGCCTTGCCGACGCGCCTGGCAGTGGCGTGGGTGCTGCTGCTGCCTGAGGGTCCGATCACAAAGCCTATCACCGCCAGCGCGCATCTGCTCGAGCGGACCTCCCCGCTGACCGCGGAGGCCAACGCCGACAGCACACGCGGGTGCCGCGTGATGGCGCTCTTGCACTCTGGGCCGGCCTTTGCGATCGTGAGCAGCGCCGTCGTCGCGTCGTTCCGCGCCGCGTCGGCGCCGCCGCTCATGGCGGCGACAAGCGCCAGCAACGCCTCCTCGGAGCGCGCCACCTCTTGCGCCGCGGCTGCGCGGGCGCGCTCGGAGCTGGCCTTGCAGACTGCGCAGTGGACCTGGGCAATTGTGTCGTCGCCCTCTGCGCACCCCGCCCGCCGCAGCCGAGCCAGCAGCTCGCGCATTCTCAAGCCTGCGCGCTGTTGCCAGCCACACAGGGGGGACGGGCGGCAAGGGTGGGGACGGGATGCGCGGCGGGCGGCCGGGTGGATGGCGAAGCGGCAGGGCGCATGCCAGTCCTTCGGGTGCGTGCTGCTCTCGCGCACGGCTTTATATCAGTGCGAACACAAACATGTGCATCACACCGGCTAACACCAGCGCTCGCATTTCCAGGACCCGAGTCTCACCTGTCACCGCCGTGGGCACCTGCGTGGTGTGCCTGATCGCCGTGAGCCGCAGAAGATCTAATGTATACCGCATCACATCCTAGCATTTGACGGGCTGCAACCTTTCAGACGGACAACAACCGCCGCCGCGGTGAGTAGCTCTCACCCAATGGGGAAAGAGGCAAGCGGCCCGGAGCTGCGACTTGCCTGCCGCCGGCCCCCAAGCGAACAGGTTCTCTACTGGTGCAGGGCAACCAGGTGCTCTGGTCATCTGAGTGGGGGCGGTTGGCGTGCTGCGTATTCGTCTGGGAAGGGGGTGCTCTCTGCTTTTGGAAGGTGGCGCAGCCAGCTCTTGTTTCACGGCTTCTTTGCCTCCAAGCTCGGGGTAGGGGTTTAGGGGGGGGGGGGTCAGCACTGGGGGCAGCTAACGCGTTCGCAGTGGTTTGGATGCTGCTGCACATCCTTGCCAGGGGCCAGGCGCAGGACGCAGCCGCGGCGAACCGAACGAAACTGTTGGCGGTCTGTGCTGCGACGGCAACCCTGGCATAGAACCTCGTGCCGCCTGCAGTATCATTTATGGTTGCGTTGAGAACAGCTTCCCGCGAGCAGCCTTGCGAAGCGGCGCAAGAAGGACGACAACCCCTTAAATGCAGGCTTTTGCACCTGCACCTGTTGGTCCAATGCAGCAGTTTGCTGCTCAAGTGTGACAACCTGACGGAGACGTGCGGCGCCCTGCGTGCAGCTGAACTACAATGACCGAGTTCCAAGCATACGCCTTGCCATCTGCCTGCCTTCTTGCCGCTCGATGACGGCCTAGCTTTTGTTGACTGCTGTTGACTGGTGGGAGCCGCATCCCGGCACCGGGTGCTGGTTGCCTTGTTGCTTCCAGCACAGGGTTGGCAGCTGGTGGCGCTGCGGCAAGAACAAGCACGGTGTCGCAGGGCCACAACCTTTGGTATTACACAGCCATGAAAGAGTTGCCTTGCGGTCGCCCATCATCCTGCCACGCCAGCACCGCCGAGAACAGGTGATGCAACAGTCAGGCAGCAGCTGCTGCGCGCTTGGCGTCCCAACGCGCTCACAGCGCAGCCAGCAACACCATGCGTCCCTATCAATCTCTGAGTGCGGCGCTCCACTCACGACCGATGGCAGCGGCAAGGCTTGCGTGCAACCGCCGCTGTTGCATGTGCCCCCACGGAAAAAGACTATCACACATGGGGTACGGCGTGGCATGCTTGCTATTCATCAGCCGGATGGGTGTGCAGCGCGTTCAGTGTAAATGGGGCGCAATGCGGCGCTGGCCAGATTCGGTGCGAAGCACAGCTATGTGTGTATGTTGGGGGGGAGGGGCTGCACTGCAGTGCAGTCTCCTCTTTTTGGTGTCTGTGCCCATGCCGTGCTTTCACACACGCAGCAACAGCTGCGCGGTGTGTGGCTTGCATGAAGACAGCACAAAGAGAGGGTAAAGCCCAACCCCATCGTGGGTGCTACAAAGTAAACTGCAAAGCCGCGCGACGAGCATGCGTGCCGTTGCTGCCACACCATCAGCAGCGGGGCCTGCCGGCGCAGTGCGTCAAGGCGACCGACGAACTGACCAGACTGCGCAGCGCGGGTGCATACAGGTGGGGTAGGTTGTGGGGGCAACGAGCGCTGGCTGGCGCAGGCCCATGCACTGGGGGGTGTAACAAGGGCTGCGGCCCCGCGGCCCTCAAACCAATCTGGAATGGGATGGTCAGCAAGCTCACATACAGGCCGCAGTCGTCTCCACCCACAAGTGGGACGAGGGCCGCCGAACCCTTGGCTCGCATGAATCGTCCGTCAAATCGTCGGTCAAAGCGCGGCTGGGCGTGCCCCTTGACAGGGGGCTGGCCGGGCGCAGTGTGCCGCGGGGCGGGCGCAATGCACATGAGGACGATCATTTGTGATTCAAAAACAGACGAGGCCGCGACACGGCCTTGAAAACGCGACTGCTGCTGCAGCTCTGGGAGTGGTTGTGATACACGAGCCTTTGGAAGGTAGCGCGGCCCTTGTGGTGGCACGACAGCGACGCGGTGGGTTTCAAAGCGTACGCGAGAGGTGAATGGTGCAGCAAGAGCCGGGTGTGCATTCCAAGGGGCCAATTGGCTCGATGCAATCGGCAGTCTCCTCCCTTGGCGGGCGTGGGCAGGCGGCGCCGCCGCCGCTCGATCGCTCTGGGTTCCCTCGCGCGCACTCAGTTGGTACAAGCTCACTGCATCAGGGATCAGACGGCGCAGGGAGACGTGAACAACACAGGGGGGTTAGCACCAGCAGGCGGGCCGCAATCACCACCGCCTCCAGGCCGCCGGCCCGGACAAGTGGCAGGCGCGGCCGAGGGCGGGCGCGCCCGAGGCCTGCGCCCATGGGGCGCGGCGCCGCCGCGTGCGCGGGCGTTTCCCGTATCTAAATCGAATTCCGCTTGGTCCGGTAGCACCAAGCTTCAAGCGCAGGCGAGGCCGGCGCCGGGGGCCATGCTCAGTACGCACTCAGCACCGCCGGTGTCGCTGCGGCGGCGCACCTGCCGCACCTGCCGCACCACTGCTGCTGCTGCCGCTGCTGCTGCTGCTGCTGCTGCTGCTGTTGCTGCCGCGCCTAGACGCGTTGCAGCCGAGGTCCCCGCAGCCGAAGCGGGGGCGGGGCACTAGCAATGCCGCGCGGCCCTGCCGCGCATGCCTCATGTCGCCAGGTCCAGGTGTCCCAGCAGGTGGCCGAGCTCCCGCCTCTCTTCCATCCACTTCACAAACGACGGCCCCGCCGCGCCCTGGCCCCCGCCGCCGGCCCCACGGCCGCCGCCGACACCCGCCGCCGCCGCCGGCCCAGTCGCCGCCGCCTGGTCTATGAAGCTGCGGTACGCGATCAGCAGGAAGTAGCGCTTGAGGTAGTGCACCCCGAGCTGGCGCGCGGCCCAGGCGGCGGTTTGGGGGTCGTCGGTGGCGGCGCCGGGGGCGGCCTCGGCGATGTGCTTGCAGGCCTTGATGTCCTCCCGCAGGTTGCCGATCTGGGAGCACCTGGGGGTGTTTCGGGGGATGGGGCGGGACGAGGGGTGTCAAGGATGGGGTGCAAGCGTGGATGTAAGACCGCGAGCTCGCGAGGATGGTGGTGCGTGCAGTGCGGGCGGGCGTGCTTGTGTTGCAGGCGAGGAGTCGCCAGCGAGCACTTGCCAGCGAGCTCTTGGCAGCGAGGAGTTGCCAAGGGCGTTGGGCCACAGCTATTATCCCTACATGCGTGCGTGCACACACACACACACAAATACACACACACACACTTTCTCCCTCTTTCTGTCACACACACGAAACCGAACGCACGCCCCGCCCCAGCCGCTCCATCCGCGCCCGGCCCCGCCCCCCCCCCCCACCTGTCAATGGCCTCGTCCACCGCCGCCTTGACCTCCGTCCCCTTGGGCAGCAGCCGGCTCACGCTGATGATCCCCCGGTACTCCCCCAAATCACTCATGCTGCGCTTCATCCGCTTCAGCGGCGGGCTGCCCTGCCCCCCCAGGATCGCCGCCGTTGCGGCCGCCGCGCTCGCCTTTGCCGGCGACACCCCGCGAGAACCAGGAGAGTAGCCCCGCGCCGGCGAGCCCCGCGCTGGCGACGCGCCCGCCGCGCCGGCGCCGCCCGGCCCCAGCGGCTCCGGCAGGCGGCCCTCGGGGCCTTGCGCGAGCAGGTACGTGCACAGCGACGCCGCCGCGAACCGCGCGCTCGACCCCGTCGCCGTCCGCGCCTGCACCAAGTGCACCACCCGCGGCGGCGGCGCGCCGCCCTCGCCGGGCGGCCGCAGCTCGAGCTGGGAGTTCAATTCCTGGAGGTCGCCGGCGACGGGGGTGCGGTCGCGCGACAGGGGGATGCGGCGGTACGACACCCTGAACCCCTCCTCCGCCAGCTGGGCGGCCACGTCGCGGCACGTCGCCAGCACGCGCCG